GCCCATTTGAACCCGCATAAACGAGTTCTGGGCCGGTTTTACCTCCCGAAGGAGACTCCGCCCTTCGGCGTAGCCTCCTTCGGGTTCCTCCTGCCCGTAGGAAGAGAGTTCAAACCGAGCAGTCGGTTCAAAAGTGAACTGCTGACAATATTCAGTCACCCCCCACGAGGGTGTCATGTTGCACAAGGCCTTTTTTAACGTGGGCATTCCCGAGCCATTAGGCTCGGCCAAAAAATAGCCCATTTGAACCCGCATAAACGGGTTCAGGGGCGAGTTTACTTCCCCCGAAGGAGACTCCGCCCTTCGGCGTAGCCTCCTTCAGGTTCCTCCCGCCCGTAGGAAGAGAGTTCAAACCAAGCAGTCTGTTCAAAAGTGAACTGCTGACGATATTCAGTCACCCCCACGAGGGGTGTCATGTGGCACAAGGCCTTTTTTAACGTGGGCATTCCCGAGCCATTAGGCTCGGCCAAAAATAGCCCATTTGAACCCGTATAAACGGGTTCTGGGCCGGTTTTACCTCCCCGAGGAGACTCCGCCCTACGGCGTAGCCTCCTTCGGGTTCCTCCCCGCCCGTAGGAAGAGAGTTCAAACCAAGCAGTCTGTTCAAAAGTGAACTGCTGACGATATTCAGTCACCCCCCCCCACGAGGGTGTCATGTGGCACAAGGCCTTTTTAACGTGGGCATTCCCGAGCCATTAGGCTCGGCCAAAAAATAGACCATTTGAACCCGTATAAACGGGTTCTGGGCCGGTTTAACCTCCCCGAAGGAGACTCCGCCCTTCGGCGTAGCCTCCTTCGGGTTCCTCCCGCCCGTAGGAAGAGAGTTTAACCGTGCAGTCGGTTCAAAAGTGAACTGCTGACTATATTTAGTCGTCGCCCCACGAGGGCGTCATGTGGCACAAGGCCTTTTTAACGTGGGCATTTCCGAGCCATTAGGCTCGGCCAAAAAATAGCCCATTTGAACCCGTATAAACGGGTTTAGGGCCGGTTTTACCTCCCCGAAGGAGACTCCGCCCTTCGGCGTAGCCTCCTTCGGGTTCCTCTCCGTCCGTAGGAAGAGAGTTCAAACCGAGCAGTCGGTTCAAAAGTGAACTGCTGACAATATTCAGTCACCCCCCCACGAGGGTGTCATGTGGCACAAGGCCTTTTTAACGTGGGCATTCCCGAGCCATTAGGCCCGGCCAAAAAATAGCCCATTTGAACCCGCATAAACGGGTTCTGGGCCGGTTTAACCTCCCCGAAGGAGACTCCGCCCTTCGGCGTAGCCTCCTTCGGGTTCCTCCCGCCCGTAGGAAGAGAGTTGAACCGTGCAGTCGCTCAGAAAGTGAACGACTGACAATATTCAGTCACCCCCCACGAGGGTGTCATGTGGCACAAGGCCTTTTTAACGTGGGCATTCCCGAGCCATTAGGCTCGGCCAAAAACTGACAATATTTGATCACCCCCACGAGCCCATTTGAACCCGTATAAACGGGTCCAGGGCCGGTTTTACCTCCCGAAGGAGACTCCGCCCTTCGGCGTAGCCTCCTTCGGGTTCCTCTCGCCCGTAGGAAGAGAGTTTAACCGTGCAGTCGGTTCAAAAGTGAACGACTGACAATATTCAGTCACCCCCACGAGGGTGTCATGGCACAAGGCCTTTTTAACGTGGGCATTCCCGAGCCATTAGGCCCGGCAAAAAAAATAGCCCATTTGAACCCGCATAAACGGGTTCTGGGCCGAGTTAACCTCCCCGAAGGAGACTCCGCCCTTCGGCGTAGCCTCCTTCGGGTTCCTCCCCGCCCGTATGAAGAGAGTTTAACCGTGCAGTCGGTTCAAAAGTGAACGACTGACAATATTCAGTCACCCCCACGAGGGTGTCATGTGGCACAATGCCTTTTTTAACGTGGGCATTCCCGAGCCATTAGGCCCGGCCAAAAATAGCCCATTTGAACCCGCATAAACGGGTTCTGGGCCAGTTTAACATCCCCGAAGGAGACTCCGCCCTTCGGCGTAGCCTCCTTCGGGTTCCTCTCGCCCGTAGGAAGAGAGTTGAACCGAAACAGTCAGTTCAAAAGTGAACGACTGACAATATTCAGTCACCCCCACGAGGGTGTCATGTGGCACAAGGCCTTTTAACGTGGGAATTCCCGAGCCATTAGGCTCGGCAAAAAAAAATAGCCCATTTGAACCCGTATAAACGGGTTCTGGGCCGAGTTAACCTCCCGAAGGAGACTCCGCCCTTCGGCGTAGCCTCCTTCGGGTTCCTCTCGCCCGTAGGAAGAGAGTTTAACCGTGCAGTCGGTTCAAAAGTGAACGACTGACAATATTCAGTCACCCCCCCACGAGGGTGTCATGTGGCACAAGGCCTTTTTAACGTGGGCATTCCCGAGCCATTAGGCTCGGCCAAAAAAAGCCATTTGAACCCGTATAAACGGGTTCTGGGCAATGATTTAACCTCCCCGAAGGAGACTCCGCCCTTCGGCGTAGCCTCCTTCGGGTTCCTCCCGCCCGTAGGAAGAGAGTTTAACCGTGCAGTCGGTTCAAAAGTGAACTGCTGACAATATTCAGTCACCCCCCCACGAGGGTGTCATGTGGCACAAGGCCTTTTTAACGTGGGCATTCCCGAGCCATTAGGCCCGGCCAAAAAATAGCCCATTTGAACCCGCATAAACGGGTTCTGGGCCGGTTTAACCTCCCCGAAGGAGACTCCGCCCTTCGGCGTAGCCTCCTTCGGGTTCCTCCCGCCTGTAGGAAGAGAGTTGAACCGTGCAGTCGCTCAGAAAGTGAACGACTGACAATATTCCGTCACCCCCCCACGAGGGTGTCATGTGGCACAAGGCCTTTTTAACGTGGGCATTTCCGAGCCATTAGGCCCGGCCAAAAAATAGCCCATTTGAACCCGTATAAACGGATTCTGGGCCGGTTTAACCTCCCCGAAGGAGACTCCGCCCTTCGGCGTAGCCTCCTTCGGGTTCCTCTCGCCCGTAGGAAGAGAGTTTAACCGTGCAGTCGGTTCAAAAGTGAACGACTGACAATATTCAGTCACCCCCCCACGAGGGTGTCATGCGGCACAAGGCCTTTTTAACGTGGGCATTCCCGAGCCATTAGGCCCGGCCAAAAAATAGCCCATTTGAACCCGCATAAACGGGTTCTGGGCCGGTTTAACCTCCCCGAAGGAGACTCCGCCCTTCGGCGTAGCCTCCTTCGGGTTCCTCTCGCCCGTAGGAAGAGAGTTGAACCGAACAGTCAGTTCAAAAGTGAACGACTGACAATATTCAGTCACCCCCACGAGGGTGTCATGTGGCACAAAGGCTTTTTTAACGTGGGCATTCCCGAGCCATTAGGCTCGGCCAAAAATAATCAGCCCATTTGAACCCGTATAAACGGGTTCTGGGCCGGTTTAACCTCCCGAAGGAGACTCCGCCCTTCGGCGTAGCCTCCTTCGGGTTCCTCTCGCCCGTAGGAAGAGAGTTTAACCGTGCAGTCGGTTCAAAGTGAACGACTGACAATATTCAGTCCCCCCCACGAGGGTGTCATGCGGCACAAGGCCTTTTTAACGTGGGCATTCCCGAGCCATTAGGCCCGGCCAAAAAATAGCCCATTTGAACCCGTATAAACGGGTTCTGGGCCGGTTTAACCTCCCGAAGGAGACTCCACCCTTCGGCGTAGCCTCCTTCGGGTTCCTCTCGCCCGTAGGAAGAGAGTTTAACCGTGGAGTCAGTTCAAAAGTGAACGACTGACAATATTCAGTCACCCCCCACGAGGGTGTCATGTGGCACAAGGCCTTTTTAACGTGGGCATTCCCGAGCCATTAGGCTCGGCCAAAAAATAGCCCATTTGAACCCGCATAAACGGGTTCTGGGCCGTTAACCTCCCCGAAGGAGACTCCGCCCTTCGGCGTAGCCTCCTTCGGGTTCCTCTCGCCCGTAGGAAGAGAGTTTAACCGTGCAGTCGCTCAAAAAAGTGAGCTGGACTGACAATATTCAGTCACCCCCACGAGGGTGTCATGGCACAAGGCCTTTTTAACGTGGGAATTCCCGAGCCATTAGGCTCGGCCAAAAAATAGCCCATTTGAACCCGTATAAACGGGTTCAGGGCATAATTTACCTCCCCGAAGGAGACTCAGCCCATCGGCGTAGCCTCCTTCGGGTTCCTCGCCCGTAGGAAGAGAGTTTAACCGAACAGTCGCTCAGAAAGTGAGCTGGACTGACAATATTCAGTCACCCCACGAGGGTGTCATGTGGCACAAGGCCTTTTTAACGTGGGCATTCCCGAGCCATTAGGCTCGGCCAAAAAATAGCCCGTTTGAACCCGTATAAACGGGTTCAGGGCCGGTTTAACCTCCCCGAAGGAGACTCCGCCCTTCGGCGTAGCCTCCTTCGGGTTCCTCCCGCCCGTAGGAAGAGAGTATAACCGAACAGTCGCTCAGAAAGTGAGCTGGACTGACTCCTTGCCTACTCCTGAGGCGCGGTATTTATTAAGTATGGAATAGTCCATTATTATTATTATGGGTAAGATCCCATAACAGAGAGTTAGACGCCTGAAAGAATCAGCGCATGTGCTAGGCTATTAGAACCTCATCAGTAGACCTAGCATAGAAATAAATACAGTATGCAATAAAGAATAAAATTAAAGAATTAATTAAATACCAGAAAAGAAAGGAAAGAAAATTACAACAGGTCTTGCAACGTAACATGAATATTAGCTTTAATGGTCTCGGTTGGGTTATGAATTTGGTGACATAGTGATTGTGAGTCTGACAGTGAGCACTTGAAAACGGACATACGATAACTAAACAGTCCTAAATTAAAATAAGAATGATGAGGACAAAAGCGTAAATGACCGATTACGTAATATAATTCCACTCTTAGCCACGGTAGACTTGCCTCTAGAACCCAGTCTTATAGGCGGTTCACTCCGCTGTATAGCAAACAACACTATTTCTCTTATTCGAACTATTGTCACCATGTTTGTTGCCATATTTATTACAACGTTTCGGCCGTTGTACCTTCCGGCTTTCTTCAGGGATAGATAGATAGATAGATAATGAACTGACTGAGATAGATAGATAGATAGATAGATAGATAGATAGATAGATAGATAGATATGAAAAGACTGACCTTGCTAGCTAGATAGAGAGATGTATATGAAATTGACTGACGTAGATAGATAGATAGAAATGAACTGACATAGATAGATAGATATATAGATAGATAGATAGATAGATAGATAGATAGATAATGAACTGACAGATAGATAGATAGATAGATAGATAGATAGATAGATAGATAGATAGATATGAAAAGACAGAGATAGATAGATAGATAGATAGATAGATAGATAGATAGATAGATAGATAGATAGATATGAAAATGACTGACGTACATAGATAGATAATGAACTGACAGAGATAGATAGATAGATAGATATGAACAGATACACTGGTAGATAGATATGAACAAACTGAGATAGATATAAACAGACTGACATAGATAGATAGATAGATAGATATGAACAAACTGAGATAGATATAAACAGACTGAGATAGATAGATAGATATATAGATAGATAGATAGATAGATATATAATGAACTGACAAATAGATAGATAGATAGATAGATAGATAGATAGATAGATAGATAGATAGATAGATTTGACCAAGCAGAAAGCGTGCGCTCGATCGACAGATAGCGATTGCATGACTGTCTCTCGGCAAAAGAATGGCAATGATAGCCGTTTCATGTTAGCAACCGTCATTCAAATTTAAGTGGTTTTCTTCCATTGAAAAATAAAAGCGAAAAATTTAGGCGCGTACAATTAAAACAAAAGTCTTGCAATGCGTGGCGCTTTCTATCGGCATTGGTAACATGAAAAAGAAGGCAATCATGAGACTATCAATGGAAATGATGGGGTGTTCACAGATGGTATGTGGGTCGGGGTTTCATTCGCACATTAAAACAAACACGAAATCACACCCCCAACAGAAGGCTAAAAGCGAATTCCTGAAAAATATAAAAAATATATATATATATATATATATATATATATATATATATATATATATATGGAAGCATCAGCTTATATAATTATATGCTGATATGTATGAGCTGCACACGCAAATATGTTTCATTGCAAATTAAGTTGCGGCTGCACGACAACGCTTATCATTGGCGTCTTCGGAGAAAGATGCACATTCATGAAGACAGATCCTGCAGTTAACAAATGGATTAAAACACTGACTGAATTCTTAGCATTTCGGGATGTCTGCAAAAGAGACGATAGGAAACTTTCTTTTTTCTTTTCTTTTCTTTTCTTTTTCTCAGAGCAGCAAAAACATTTGAGCGTTTTTTGTTTTTTTTGTTTTTTTTTTCTAAATGTTCTTTTTAATTACCAATATTCTGTTTCTCTGATTTTCACGGATAGTTTTTCGCCATCTTTGATAGAGTCGGTGCGTACATCGTAAGTGTAGAGTAACCTGAAGAATCCAGGTGATTTCCCACCCTCATCACTCTTCTGCAATCCAGGATACGGCCGGGGGAATATGTCCACAAACACACGGTTTAGGAAATACATACGCACACGGTCACACACGAACATTCCGGCAGGTAGTAATAAAGCAAGACATGATATTTTATCTGTTTGTTAATGACTTGGATTCAGGTGTAAGAAAAATAGTTTCAATGAGATCTTGCTGCAGATAGATAGATAGATAGATAGATAGATAGATAGATATGAAGAAAAAGAGATATGCATACAGGACGACCTTTAACACCCACAGGGCCCACTGCAACTATGCTGAGTGAAATTCAGTGACAGTTTTTGCAAGAATGTGTATTATCTGGCGGGATCAACAGTCGGAACATGGGCAGCACGCTGAAACCCTCGGTCACGATAACTTGTGATTTTATCTATCTCAGTCTGTTTATATCTATCTCAGTTTGTTCATATCTATCTATCTATCTATCTATCTATCTATCTATCTATCTATCTATCTATCTATCTCAGTCAGTTCATTATCTATCTATCTATCTATCTATCTATCTATCTATCTATCTATCTATCTATCTATCTCAGTCTGTTTATATCTATTTCAGTTTGTTCATATCTATCTATCTATCTATCTATCTATCTATGTCAGTTCATTTCTATCTATCTATCTATCTATCTATCTATCTATCTATCTATCTATCTATCTATGTCAGTCATTTTCATATCCATCTCTTTATCTAGCTAGCTAGGTCTGTCTTTTCATATCTATCTATCTATCTATCTATCTATCTATCTATCTATCTATCTATCTATCTATCTATCTATGTCAGTCAGATCACTATCTATCGATCTATCTATCTATCGATCTATCTATCTATCGATCTATCTATCTATGTACGTCAGTCATTTTCATATCCATCTCTCTATCTATCTCTCTATCTAGCTAGCTCTCTCTTTTCATATCTATCTATCTATCTCAGTCAGTTCATTATCTATCTATCTATCTATCTATCTATCTATCTATCTATCTCAGTCTGTTTATATCTATTTCAGTTTGTTCATATCTATCTATCTATCTATCTATCTATCTATCTATCTATCTATCTATCTATCTATCTATTTATCTATCTATGTCAGTTCATTTCTATCTATCTATCTATCTATCTCTCTATCTATCTATCTATCTATCTATGTCAGTCATTTTCATATCCATCTCTTTATCTAGCTAGCTAGGTCTGTCTTTTCATATCTATCTATCTATCTATCTATCTATCTATCTATCTATCTATCTATCTATGTCAGTCAGATCACTATCTATCGATCTATCTATCTATCGATCTATCTATCTATCGATCTATCTATCTATGTACGTCAGTCATTTTCATATCCATCTCTCTATCTATCTCTCTATCTAGCTAGCTCTCTCTTTTCATATCTATCTATCTATCTATCTATCTATCTATCTATCTATCTATCTATCTATCTATCTATCTATCTAAAGAAGTGCGCAACGTACAACGGCCGCCACGTCGTGTGTATGACTATAAAGATGAAGGCAACAGTCCAAATAATGTAAATAGTGTAAATAGTTACAATACATCATCACAGAAATATAGACAGATCCTGAAGATGGCCGGAGCGTACAACGTTCGAAACGTCGTGAATATGACAATAAAGATGAGGAAACAAGTCCGAACGATGTTCGTAGTATAAATTGATTATATCTTTATTTTATCTTCGAGTTAGATGTACTCTGTTAATTTTATAAGTATTTAAATATTATAGAAAATATTTTTTGCTTGGCATGCTGATAAAGGATTTTTTAAAATATCTAACGGATTTTTTTTCATTTGAAGCCATTTTTTATTCTTGATCTGACAAACCAGTTAAGTGTATGACGAAAACATTTAAAGAATCATTCATTACTGCTAGACAACAATCAAACAATCAAACAATCAAAGTTGATTTCTACTCCCCATATTTTCTATGTTTGAAAACTTTTGACAGAAAACGACCATTTATAGTCAAGAGAAACAGAGTAATCCTCAATGACAATAATTGCCCGAACAATTGACTAAAGATCTCTTAAAGATGGGAAACATTGTATCAGCCTCTATATTCTACCAAGCATACTGCTTCTAATTATAACTTGTTTAGGGATTTGCAAGACCATTTGAATCACCTAAAGTTGACAGCAAGAGAACAAGTTGAACATATCGTCTTTGAAATCAAAACGTAAAGTATTTTACAAATAGAGCATCCTGGCGATGAAGATCTAACTGGTGGAAATAAGGAATGTTAGTCATTGTTTATCTATCTATCTATCTATCTATCTATCTATCTATCTATCTATCTATCTGTCTGTTTGTATGTTCATATCTATCTATCTATCTATCTATCTATCTATCTATCTATCTATCTATCTATTCATTATCTCAGACTTACATCTATCTATCTATCTATCTATCTTTTTCATTATCTATCTATCTATCTATCTATCTATCTATCTATCTATCTTTTCATTATCTCAGACATCTATCTATCTATCTATCTATCTATCTATCTATCTATCTATCTATCTATCTTTTTCATTATCTCAGACTTACATCTATCTATCTATCTATCTATCTATCTATCTATCTATCTATCTATCTTTTTCATTATCCAAGACATATATTTTCATTATTTCACACTATCTATCTATCTATCTCTATCTATCTATCTATCTATCTATCTATCTATGTATCTATGCGTCTGTAAGTATGTTCATATCTATCTATCTATCTATCTATCTATCTATCTATCTATCTATCTATCTATCTAAAGAAGCTTAGATATCTTTAAAATCAAAACGTAAATTACCAATATGGCAACCTGGTGTTGAAGGTATGAAGTAGTGGAAATAAAGAATTGTAACTCGTCCGACCATCTACCATAGTAATAGCGATATAGCAAAATAAAAGCTGACAACATATCATCTGTGGCGGAATGTTAATCACAGTCGTCAGTGGATGAGTCGAGGTAACAGACCTGCTCATGAACCGAAAGGAAAATTCATGCAAAGAAGATTTCGTTGAGTGGAAATGATAGAATATTCAAGGAATCATCGGCTATGCACTGTTAGACTATCAACCCTGAGATCTTTCCTGCCAACAACGTCGTCGTTTAGAAGCAGCTTTGGATAGCAAACGTCCATCCTTAGTCAACAGAAAGGAAGTAATCCCCTCTCACGATAATATCAGTCCTCGCATTGCACGATTGCCTAAATATCAGATCTTCTTGAGGAGATTGGCTGGTAAAAATCGCTTCATCTTCCAAATTCACCCGACCATGTTTATTCTGGTTATGTCTGCAGCGGTTTGCAGAACTATTTAGATGGCCGAAGGTTGACATTAACAGAAGAGGTTGGACATGAGTTAGTCTAAGAAAAAAAAAAAGTTTTACAGTTTTACATTAAAAAAAATAATTAAAAAAACTAAGTAACTTAAAAATGTGGCATCTTGTTCACAGAAAGAATGAGATTTAAGGAAACAGTGGAGTTTTATTTCTAATCATTTCACTCCAAGAAAGACGGGAATACCAGTAGTACGCAGAGTGTTACAGAAAGTGAAAATGAGAGAAAAGACAGGGGAGGATTGAAGAAAGAATAAAAAATGAACGGGATTCAAGAAGACAGAAAATGACGATTGAGGTTGCATTTCAATTTTTGAAGATTGTAGCTATCAGGGAAGCAAGTAAGCAGAAGTGAGTTCCACAGGTGGGAAGTGCGAGAAAAAAACCGTTGGGGGTAGAAGTGGTGGTTACATTTAACTATTTCAATAGTAAAAGTGTGCGAACTAGATGCAAATCTAGTGGCATGCTTAAATTCATATAGTCGAGACCTCAGGGAAAAAAGCTTGTCAAAGCAGTTGCCATAAAAATAGGGTGAGTGAAGTCGAGATGCCAGGTCATGATCGATTATATTACAGATCCTCCTTTGGACTTTGTATTCAATACACGGACGAATAGATATGGCTTTGATGACAAGATCATACACAATAAATTTGCGCTGAGACTCTTACAACATCTCACGATTCCTGGCAGATCTTCTTTTATTACAGTGTGGAATATCTAAGAACAAAACTGGTGGAAACAAAAAGAAAAAAGAATTTGAATGAAGTCGGCTATTTGCCATGAAAATATTTGTAGAAAAGACAGAGGGAAGCCACCTCACATCGGTGAGAAAGTGAGTGAAGTCGAAATGCTTAGTCAGGACCAATTACATTGCAAATTTTTATTTAGATTTTGTCAAGAACTTTCAGATGAATAGCGGAAGCAAACGGACGAGATATGTTAACCGTATTCAATGCACGTCTGAGTGGTAAATTTGTAAATGTGTAAGATGGTGTCTGACAAGAAAAACTTCTGGCACGACACAGTGAACGAACTTTTCTTGCAGTAGATGCAGTTTTTTTATTGATTAAATATTTCTATAAGCATTTGTATTTTCATTTGCAAAATACCTGATAAATTCGAACAGAACTTTCGTTCTAAGATGATATATCTTGTATTAGAATCAAACATAATTTCATTATTGAGGTTTCGACATTACTTTAGTCCTCACTTCTTCAAATGGTGTATTTATTCTTATTTAGCAAATCTTTTTGCTTTGTCTTCTACAGGATTTGATCAAAGATCGGTTTAAAGGATTTATTCATTTGAAGGTATTTTTAATCACTGACCTGAAAAGAATACAAGGCCCAAGAACCACTCAAGGTAGAGTGTTACGGAATGAGGTTATTGTATGAATTTAATAGGATATGAGGATTTGTAGGAAAGATGACGGTTATCCTTAGACTTGAAGAGGTTGACATTGTAGTGTTCGGAGAAGCATCCTCTGGGGAGCCTGATTCAAAATGTTGGGGTTTTAAGAAGCTGATATGTCAGTTCCGTGTAATAGTCGTGCGAACTTAAGAACTAAATTAACTAAAGAAGAGGAGTGAAGAACAAGTAGTAGTATAGAGATAACAAGTATAACGATACATACATACATACATACATATATATATATATATATATATATATATATATATATATATATCTTAAGATGTGCTATATTTATGGGATAAAGTGCTCAATATCAGAGAAAGAGTGTGTGTAAATACAAAAAGTGAACAGTGAAGTCAACACTTACAGGCAGCATTTTTTCATGCTAGACGAAATCGTCGCCTCTGAGTGTTTTCAATGTTCACTTTTGTAAATATATCTCTGATATTGAGCACTTT